AATCCTACGACAGAAGGAACAAGATCGTTCTCGTGCTGCGCAACACCTGCAACGTGAGTTGGAGGAGATTGAGGTGCGAAAATCAGAAGTGGAAGCGGTTGCTGGTGATCTGGAAAAACGGCTGCGTATTGGTAATTTCTCAGGGTTTTTTGTGGATTTTTAGGGGTTTTTTGTGAATTTTCGAATTCGTTTTTTTTGCAGGTTAGGCTTAACAGGACTAAATATAAATATTTTCTAAAAACCGAAACACTTGACCTTGACCTTAGCTCAAATAATAGCTGTTTCGTGAAGTAAAATCAATTTTTGCTTAAAGCTATTAATGTTTTTGTCTTTTGAAAATTCGATGAAAACAAATAGAGTGCGTTTTTTTAGCGTTTTTTTAGGCTCTCATCTCGAAAAATATTTATTTTTCGGGCTCCCAATACTTTTGCGGCTAACAAATTTCTAAAAATCTTTACAGATGCCGAGAATGTATGGATTCTGGAGCAATGGTTGCTCTATGTAGAGGAGATGAATCAGTTGAAGCAGCGTGAAAATGAGCTAAAACTTCAAGTACGTGAATTTGAAGTGAACGAAGAGTACCGAAATCTTCAACAAAAACTCAAGGAAATTCAGTGTGCCGATGCTAATACCGATGCAACGAACAGCGAGGTAAATAAGATTACGTGTCTGATGTTAGAATGGGGAAGAGATCCTTATTAAAATCAACTTTTTGGTTTATTTCAAAAAATTAAAAAATTTTTTCTTGCACTTTTTAAAATTACTTTCAACGTTTTGGCTTTCTCACTCTCTCTGTTCCCTCTCTAATTTTCCTTTCATTCGTATATCTGTCCTGCAAATTAGCCACATGACCACTGTTCAGAACATAGCGAGTAGGAGACTGTACTGATGATTCCCGCTCCTATCCGTACGCATTGCTTGGTCTGGGTTTACAGAATAAAAGATGAAACGCTGTCTGACTACACTGTAAAATGCCCTTCGGCACATGACGCTTATGACCAGTCCTTCCAATTTTACTATTTCTGGAGAACTTCATATTGCTGATTCTGTCACTTACCCGTACATCAGTTTTACTCTGCAATTGTGGGTGGTTTTGATTTCCATTAACAGTAATTCTTTAAATGTCGTGTAGTAGATCAAATAATGATTAATGATTTTTTGTTAAAAGTAGGTTAAAGAACAGTTGCGTTATTATAACTCAGTGGACCCTTGTCCCTGGTTCAAACTTTGACCACCCTACCCTCATTGAACTTTCGGTCTTTGTCCCCTGAGGTATAAAAGCACTTTTCCCCATTGCCGGGATCGCCACTACCCATTCACCACTGCGACCTATTTTTATTTAACTTATACTCCTAATCTAGGGAGCTTCGGCTCCCCAGAGCCTCACCACCTTTGTATGCATTATCTCTTTAACTTACTATGTATTAATAAATATGTGTATAGGACGCGACGTCGTACACACACACATACACACTCCTACAAACGGGGCACACACTAACTTAATATGCCAACAGTCAGGGTCGCGATAAAATGATATGATATGCAAGCGCGTTTTTGAGACCTCAGGCGCAAGAGATTTTCGAAATTTTGACGTGCGCATGAGCTCTGACGTATTCTGATAGAATTTTTTCAAATTTTCTTTCTAGAAAAGTTTGATCCTATTGATAGAATTTCGTAGAATCTCTTTTTTTTTTCTTTTAGCGTGCATACATTCATGGTGATCGCATTGGATGTTTGACATTAGTACCGGAATTATTTGAAATGCAGTTTTTTTTATTTAAAAATTTCGCAGTTTTGAAAATTTCAGTCTGAAAAATCAATTTTGACGAGAACATTGGCAGTCGTCGAAGAACGTGATGCGTTGCAGCAACAGTTAAAGGAGATCAAAGAAAGGTTAGAATTTATGTTGAAAACTAAAATTTACAAAATTGCTGGCATTTGGCCAATTTTTATAAACTCAAGAACCTTCTTACCCGTATAAGATCGGGCAAATTGTTTCCAGGGCACGAGAACACGCAACGACTGAGCCAGCAACATTGATACGATTGAAGGGAGCTTCCTACCACAATTTTGAGCCAGTTTTCATATAAATTTAATTTGAAACAACGAATAGTTGGATAAAGCAGCTCCTTGGGCACTACGTAAGAGCTGAAATCGGTGAAAGTTGAAAGTGCGAACAGCATCCAAAATTTGTCTTACTTTAATTATATTAAATATTTTATTTTTTGTTATCATTTTTGCTCCACTTGTATGTGTTTTAATTGTTTTAAATATATTATGTGCGATTTGATTTTTTGTGATATTTGAAATTGAATTTATGGTGCTTCAAAAACTCAAATAGCTTTAACAAAAAATGCAGCGCAACATTTCATACGGGTATAAATATTCAGTGATCCGCCCAGGCTGACGTTGCTCAATAATAATGGGATT